CCCCCCCCTCCAGGTTCCCCGACCCCTCCCACTGTGTAAATTATGAATGCTCCTTTTATTACTTTTTGAAATGAGGTTTTTACTTATGTGCTCTTTTTATTACTTTTTGAAATAGGTCTCTCCTCCAGCTTTGGTAATATCAGAAGTCTTTGTTGCTTTGCTTGTAGAGCAACACACTACCTCCAACAGTTCTAGCAACCCATCCATATCAAAAACGCTAGCAGATGCAGTGTCTGCTAACCTTAGCATCAGGAAGGCATCTGACATACRCTGTACCTTCATGGTTCTCCCAGTTATCATTGATAAGGTCTCGTCACTGAAAACTAAATCTTCTTTAAAAGAAAAGCTCAATGAACTCCCAAGAAACAACGCTAAGGTCTTTTTTGTAGTTCTAAGTCCTTCACTGGCAAACCCGAGCACTGGACTGGTAGAAGTTGTCCGCGGATGGAGTGCTCGCAGAGGAGGGAATAAAATATATGGTGTGCACTTCCAAGAGATCTCAGCATTGCAAGCTTATTACATAAAAAATAGGCTCAAAGAAGAAGTGGCTTTGAGTAAATACTCCAAGAGTGTTGAAGAAGGTGATGATGGTGGACTAGAACATATAAGTGTCACTGGGCTGGTTGATAGTAGTGATAAGAATCCTCATGTAGCTTTGCCTGTCCTGTTGTATTTGATCCATTTGGCTATTGGAGAGAATGGCGAAAGACTAACAGGCAAAGGGATCCCATCAGGTGAGTTTTAAAAGTTTTGCTTGAGCTTGAAAATAACAACAGACATGACATTAAGTTGTTTTGTTGAAAAATTTATGGGACGAGAGAAATAAAGATCTTGTGCTCTTTAGTGTGCTTGTTAGTGTTTTTGACTACGCTATAAATTACGCCACAGTTGCGATTATCTTTTTCATAGCAACATTGCCATTGTCGTTTTCATTACTATTGTTATTGCCGTTGCCATTACTGCTATATTCCTATTGTCACTGTCATTGTTGCTGTAGTTGCATTGCCGTTGTCAGTGATATTGCATTGCATATACCATTACTCACATTTATTCATTCGTCCTTGTCCTTGCCTAGACATTGCTATTGTCATTGATTGTTTATTGTTATTATGCATTAGCGGTTTTTAGTGACCGATGTAGGCACGGCGATGTTACAGGTTTCAATAAAGAGAGAATGCGCAAGCATGCGCAGTTAATACAATTTATCATTGTTTCCACTCATTTTCCAGGTGTGTACTCCAAGAAACCAGTTGGTCCAGGAACATCTTGTTGGACTCTGGAGGAAGTCTACATGGAAACCTGTCATGTGCTGTCTGGTTTGGCCAGGAAGTGTTCATTGCAAGTACTTTCTTTACCTGTAGCTGAACCTGATGCTAATGCTACTCCTGTACAACCAAAATTGGACGTGAACGAGAGAGTTTCCATCCCAGTCTGCACCACGGATGAAAAAGGTGTAACATTACATGAGAGGGCACCCTCGTGCCTTCTGCGGAGCGAACCAAGGAAGGACTCTCCTCTTTCAGCTCAAAARACAAAAAGAGGACACCAAAGTTTAAGCTCAACTCCAAGCCCCAGCCCCTCTGGGACGTCTAGCAGTGAAGGCACGATCGAGTTGACACCAAAACAGGAGAGAATGATCGCAGACGAAGTAATTATTACAAGAGTTGTTCAAGAAGTACGTGGAAGTGCAGAAACTTCATCGCCTTTGTCCAAAAAGCGAAGCAGAGGAAATGGTGGACAGAACGATGAATCTCCTGCTAAGAGACTTGCTAATTCTATGGCTGTTTTAAACCGAAGTACAAGATCTTGTTCAACTTCTTCTTCTCCTGTTATGGAAATCATTCCCAGTACATCAGAAAGTCAACGAGATGTGCCAACTTGCTTTCGAAATTTAAACGATTCGTTTGAAAAGGAATCCTTGTCTTCTTCACTTTCATCGTTAAAGAAACCCGAAACGTTTTCTCGAAGTAAAACATGTCTGTCAGAACAARCTGACGTCTGTGCAGCGAACATGAGAAGTACAAATAAGTGTCCTGGTGTTGGAAAGTCTTTTCCCAAATCATTCAAAGCTTCCCCGCATATTGAAAAGAAATCTTATTCCTTGAACTTACCTGCTGGTTTGGTTGCAAGTAATAGTGTTTCAAGTCCAACGTTACGCAGAAAGGTGAAGCCATCCTCTGAAGTAGACGATGAAATTCTCAACAAAAAGGAAACAATTTCGAGAAATTATTTTGATGGTGATGCGTTAATAGACCGAGTATCTGCAGAAGTGGACAAATCCAAAATTCGTCTCCAAAGTCCTAAAAAGCTGAAGAAAACTGAAAGTGCCTCTGTTGAAAATTCATGTGATTCGCTTATTAAGGTTGTTGTGGTCGATGAGGAAGAGGAAGATGCAGAAATGCATAGTGAACACGTAGACTCTGGAGAAACTCTAAAAAGAGAAGACACTGCTGATAATTCCAAAGCAACCCAAGCAAATTTTTCTCCTCTGGAAAAAAATAAGTATCCTAACAACAGAAAACAGTGTCTCCTCACGAAAATCAAACAACTTCAAACACCGAATACCCCCAGTACGTCATCAAACCAACAAGAGAAAACAGTTAAAAGACAAAAAATATTTTCAAGTAATGAACAAAGAGAAACGGCAGAGGACAATAATTTGGKCGAAGATCATGAAGTTTATAGAGTTGCTACAAGCCCCGTGTCTGAGAACGAAGACGTTGAAACCAGTGCAAGCCCAGATGTAAGACCAAAAGAGAAAGGCCAAGATRTTCCACTGATGGCAAACGTAGAAGAGGTGCATGTTACTCACTATGTTCTTGATCTGGCGGTAGACTTTGAGCAGAAGGTCATGAAAGGGAGTATAGTGTTGTTTCTAGAACCTGCTAACGATGAGGCTACTAAAAACACGTTTCAGCTTTGCTTGGACAGCACTCTTGTCAATGTTGAATCTGTTTCTGAGGTCTTTTTGCCCGAGGATTTTAAGGTGCCGTTCTTCTGGAAGAAATCTTCTGGAAGTTCTGGATCACCAAGTGCTGTAAATGAAAACGATGCCAAAAGAGAAGGCATTTCTTCGTGTGATGGAAGAACGGATGAAAATGAAAAGTCTTCTGACAAGAAAAATGTTATCTTATCTTCTGAAGGCTCGGAACTCTCGTTATTTCAAAGATTACAAAAAAATTACGGGATTGGATCAAAAAATAGTGAATCCGAATCCAAATCCTCCCCAATTGATTCCGAATCATCCGTAACCACTTCTGAGTCAAGTCAAATCCATTGCAAATCTCTGCAAAACAGTCCCGAATCTACCCACAACGTTCCCGATTGCTCTCGATTAAATTCCGATTCCTCTCGAATCAATCCCGAATCGTCAAAGGATCAGTTATCTGAAGATGTTGGCATAAGTAGTTCTTCTGATGGCGTAACATCGGGCAGTAAAAACTCAAAGCAGGATTCCACATTACCTGGATTCCTGGAAATGCTTGGTGCAAAGTCTTCAGATCCTCTTCCATACAAAGGTCTGACATACTCTGTTTATGGCTGGTGTATTAAAGTGTGGAAGGAGGGGGCCACAGGCAAGTCATGGCCAAGATGTGTGTGTATCAGGTACCACACCTCTCCTGAGGGACAGTCACTCATGTGGACACGTGACCAGGACGGCAAGTATGTAAAAAATCAGGAAATTTTTGAACAACTTGAGGTGACGTGAAAGCAACTTTATGGTATGGCGGAAACAAAATTTGTGATATAACGACGAGATTACTTTCCAAACATATTTTCCTGTCATTCAAGTTGGCTGCCTTTAAATTATCTCGTAAAATTGCTTTGAGGTTGGATTCAAATGCTTGAATCTTATTGGTTGACCTTGGGAAGTTTTCTGAAGGTCAACTTAAATCAACCTAACTGTTCAAAGCCACTGATTGGTGAATGACATTGACACAGTAGAACCCTTGGAAGGGCGTGGTAATCTGGCATAAACACCAAGCTAAGTTGCAAAAGCCTCTTATGAAGAACAACTAATTTGATACATTTTGTTTTCGAACTTTTTTCACAGGCCGTGTGTATTTTCACCCGGTGCGTACATCAACAATCGCTCCCTCATGCCATGCCAAGAGCCTCCTGTTGCCATGTCAACGTGGCAAGCAGCTATTCACGTGCCTCAAGGCTGCATGGCGTACATGAGTGGTTGTCCAGTTGCTGTTGATAACAAATCCTCAAGGGATCCCGAACTAGGTAAGGTTATTGTGTTTGTTACGCCCTCTTTATATGTTAAGAATAAACGCAAAGATGTACTGGTAGAGATAAGGCTATGACTAAATCGAGTGAATGAGTGAGTGAGTGAATGAATAGACAATTGAAAAAAATAGAAGAATCAATGATTTGATAATTGAATGAGTGGGTGGGTGGTCAGATGGGTGGATGTTTGGATGGATGGGTAGATGGATGGATGTTTGGATGGATGGATGGATGGATGGA